TCTTAATAGTGGAGTGTGGCTTTCTGAGTTAAAAGCCTTATCAAGTCCCTAAAGCAGCAGCTTCAGGTCTGTGGGCACATCTGAGATCTCTATGTGGTGTCATCAGCTCTTGCTTCAGGGAGGTTTCCGAGTGATCCCATTGCTGATGTGGAAGCCACTTCTCTTGAGGGATGAAGTGTTGGCTCTGTATTGCAGTGTCACCAGCCAAGTTCACGGGCAGGTTTGGTACCGACAACGAGGAGTCCCCGTAACCCCTGCCCGGATGTATGTGCCCATCCTTCCATATGAGCATTTCCAAAGTGTTGATAAATGACCTGTAGGTTACATCTCACTAAAGGAGGCCAAAGGGAAGGTAGTATTAGGCCTTGCACCGTTCATTGATATAATGTATTGCATTCTGCTACATATTCAGTGCCTTTTGTTTTCCTCCTTGGTCCAATACTGAAGTTTTCTGTCTCTAGTTCTTCTGTCTGCTGCTGCGTGTGAAAGAATGGGTCTTTGCTCCAGACAAAGGTGGGTGAGCGGTAAATGGTAAAAGGTAGTTACTGAAGTAGAGATTGGATGTGTTTATAGGTCCTTTCAGGCCACAAACATATTCTGCCACTTCCCCAACTTTTTCCTGGAAAAAGAAGTATTTATGGCAGTGTTGGTTTGGTATCACCCACTTAACACAGAAGTTTTGGCTGGTTTGGGAGCTAATTTCCTTTTAGCCTCGATGCAGGGCCAGAACTCAGAGCTGAAACCCAACCCTTTGGTGAGGCCAACATGACTTGGAAACCTTAACTCTGCCCCTGACTGCCTTACAGGGAAGTGCCTTGTGCAGGCAGCATGGAAGGGCAAGTGGCAGCACTAGGGAAATGCTGACAGTTCTTTGTGGGACAGCTTAGTGTCACCCTGTTACCCTAAATGCAAGGGGCCTCTGGATGTAGCCATCCCATTTTCCTGCCTAGTTAGTTGATGAAAGGTAGGGGAGAAGACTTCTTTTAAAGCTGGGAAGCCAACGAAGGTGCAAAACTAGGTTATTAGGCTGTGGTTGTCTGGAAGTGAGTGCAGTGCCCTGCTGAACTGGTTAAGTGCATGTGGACAATAGCAAAGGCCAAGCACGTCCATCCCTGCAGCTTGATGACACAGGGACCTGGCCCTTGGATGCAGCGCCAGGCACCTGGGGAGGTATTGGGCCCCATGCAGTTAGCAGCTCTGTTTGACTTAGTGATTTTGGGGCTGCTCTAGGACAATGCTCTATTAGCAGTTTGTAATGTGTGGGTTTTTCCCTATAATTGAGGTTGAGCGAATTCCAGGAGAAAGGGAGAAACGAGACAAATGGATCCATTTCTGTTGGGGCCGCCTCCCTTGGTGTGATCTGAAGAGCAGCTTGTTGGCCCTTGGCAAGGGAGCCAGCTCTTCCCATGGGACACGTTTTATTATGGGGAATTTGGAGCTCAGCAGAGAGAGCTGAAAAGGAGAGGGGAAGCAGAAGTCATAGAGGAGGCTCTGAGAGCAGCCTGCTGGCAGCAGCACGTCCTGCTCCCATCCTGCTCCGGAAAACGCGCCGCCGTCTGAGCTCCCAGGGCTTGGAGGAATCCTGTGCCTTTAGTCTCATGCCGAGCGAATTAGACGATGGGAAGGGGTCGAGATGAAAAATATCGAAAGAGGAGGTAGCCTGAACGCTGCACAGACAGTGATTTGAGGGGATTTGCCTGTGTGGGTGGCAGTCTGGAGAGAAAAACATGGACTGCTTGCAAGTTAGAAAGATCAGCTGCCGAATGATGGACACGCTGTCCGACCTTGCGGCATGGCCGGGCTGAGGGATCAGTAAATAAGCTCCTGCTCTTCTCCCACTGCGGCAGTTGTTTTTGTGGGGGGTCAGTTTTTCCAGTGTAGCAATTATGTAAAGTGCTTTTAAGGAAGCTTTATGATACAGGCTCATCTTTGACACAGATAGGCAGTGGGGGCTGCCCTGCTAATTTCACTGCGGTTTTGTGTATCTGCCTGGATAACAGGCATTGACTTAAAGGGGTTAGGAATACAGGTGGGTGTTTTGCCTAGGAGGGAAATTTCAAAAGGTACCATGTTATTGCGGCTTAATGAATTTTCATTTTGCTACTGTTCAAGTAATTCCTAACTCCTGTTGGGAAAAGAAGCCACTTAGCTATTCAAATTTTAAAGGGAATGTTAACTGCGGTGCTCAAGTATGACACTGAAATACCTTAAAGCATGAAAACATGTTCTTTATCATCTGTCCTACGTCTGTGGGTTGCTTTTTATTATTATTATTTTATTTGCTTGAGAGAGATGGAAGAAATAGCAGCTGAGCTCTGGCAATTCCTGCTTTCTCCCATTGCTGCCTCGTAGCTCCTGGCTTCGCTCTTTCCCCCTTCCCGTTTTGCCTGCTGTGCAGAGCTTGGAGCTGCTCCTGCAGGTGCCAGCAGCCCTGATTAAACAATGCAAAACTCTACTGCACGTCAAGTTATTTTTAATCTAAGCTGTTATGGAAACTGCAAAGTGAAACTGCCAGAGTTATCTGTGAAGCCTGAGAAATTATCCTAGCCTAATTCAGCTAGGATGGCAAAGGCATTCAGTGGCACAACTGTGTTTACCTCATCTTGCTGCCAGAGCAGTTGTTTGGGCGAATAACTAAAACTTGAGGTGCTTAGTCAAATAAGGACAAGGCATTTGATCAACAAATCAGTAGAGAAAAGAAAAGGCTTTTTATATGCTGAAGGTCTCTCGTTTGATAGCACTCAAGTCACCCGGTAATTGAGCGCTGTGGCTTTGTAACCTGTCAGTGCGGAGCCTCACGCTGGTTTGTGAAAGCTCCTTAAGGAAACTGCTCGACTAGAGGCTGCAGCCCTGCACTTGGGCATCCGTGAAGTTGGAATTACAGCGCCCGGCTTCTCATTAGCTGCGTGTGTTGCAGGGAGCCTTTCATCTCCGGGGGCTTTGGAAGTGCTCCCTGTGCTGGGGAAGCTCCAGGAAAATCCAGTGGGCTCCATGCGGCAGCCGGTGCTCTGGAAGCCACTGCTGCTGGTAGCTTGGGGTGTAAAATGCTGCTGTGCATAACCTGCATGCGTGGGGAAACTCCCTTGTTGAGCCTTGGGCAGTTTAACGGGCCCTTGTTCTGGAATCAAGAAGATAACTCTCACTAGTGTTGTTTGTCAGATAGAAATTTAGGTAATGTTTTTATTAGGTAAAAAGCATCTTTGTTTACATTCAGAAATATATAAAAAGTGGGTTTTCAGCATAGCCTGGCTGTAGTCAGTACATGCAATAGCTGCTTTACCCTTTGATGACAACTGACATCACTCTTCTTGCTGCTTCCTGCTGTGTTCACTTTGGGAAGCCGTTTGTGCAGGGGGGAATATTTAGCTGTTCCAGTGAGTGTCCAACCCGCTGCCCTCCGAACCGGGACTGCGTGGGCCGTGTTTCCCACCTGCGTGGCAGGAATTCACCCTCGTTCAGCATTGTATAACTGAAACGGCAGCAGAGCTTCCCTCGGGCTGCAGCTTTGCGAGGCAATTGTGCTTCTAGCTTCCTGACCCTCTGGAAGCAGGCAGAACACCCTGGGAGTTCAGCTGGAATATGGAGATGGAGGCAGCTGAGACAGGGCTTAAGCATGAGCACTAAGTGCATTTGAGCTGGCAGATGCAGAGTGGAGCTGAATGCAAGCTGAATTTTTTATTCCTTGGCTGCTTTGCTTCATACTGTAACATTGCGTAAGGTTCTCTCCCCTACTTTTTAAATTTATTGAAAATAGAGATAAACAGAAGTCAACTTGGAAGATGCTGTTTATTAATACACGCTCTTCCTTCTGGTTGCTGAGGCTGCCTGTCCTGCGAATAGATGAAATGCAGAAGCAGCCTTGCTGCTACTGACTCATCTGCTGGGACTCCTGCCTTGTGCAGAGCACCTTTGCTCCAAGAGAGGGGAAGGAAATTCCGCAGAGCTGCAGTCTGCGAGTTGAGTAAGAGCGAGAGGCCGCCTGGAAGCTCCCAAATGGGGAGCCCCCGCAGGGCAGGCGGCCTCGGGGGCTCCCCTGCCCCTGGGGAGAGGGCGCCTGCGGCTCGGGTGCTGTCGTGGAAGCCGCTGTGGGGAGTATCTGAGGAGGCTGCGGAGGCTCCCGGCGCGCGCTGGGATGTGGGTCCGTGCGGCCGCTTGGCGGGAGCAGCGTGTGGCAAAACCTGCCCACGTCCCCACGAGCTCGAGAGGGGAAATGAAGAGTCTTCCTGTGGGGCAGAGGAGGTGGTGACTCTTGCTGCTGGTGCTGGAGGAGGTGCTTCAGGGATTGAGGGCTTCACCTTTACTATGGAAATGGGAAGGAGGGAGCAGGGCTACGCTTGCAGTACAAAAGTGCTCCTTCCCTTCTATTTTCCCTCCTCAGGAGGAAGCTCTGCTCTCCTGTCATGCCTCAGAGGTGTTGGTGTCTCCTCGGCTCCCGGGGAACGTTGATGAGGCCTCCCCTGAGGAGGGGTGACGGGTCAGATTCCTGCCTACCGGCTGCTCCCGATGCTCCTCCTGGCCTGGGGGCAGCAGCAGCCCCCGGAGCCGGGAATGGGCGCCTGGGCTTCCCGGGAAGCGTGGGCAGCAAGGGAGGGACTCCAGCTGCGGGAAGCCCTTCCTGCCTTTGCTCGGCCTGCGCTCTGTGGTCTCTTAAGAGATGGTGGAAGCTGCTGCGTTGCACTGGGGTGGGCGATTGGAGGCTTCTGGAGGAAAAGGATGACTTTGGGAAACTGCTCCAACAAATCATGAGGGTTTTGGCTTTCCTACTGAAATAATTGTTTCTTGGCATGTCATGTTAAATATTTTTCAAATTCCTTATCCGCCGTTTATTTATGAAAACTTCTTTAATGTAAGCTGGAATTGAGTACCTTGTCTGGCTGCACAGTCAGGTCTGCTGGGTTGCAGCCTTTCTCTAAATATAGGTTGTGCTTGTTTTGCTTCTGTCCTCCCCCCACTTTTTTCTTCCAGCCTTAAGCAAACTTCCTGTTCTTTTTGCCTTCCAGGCTCCAGATAAAAGGAAAGCGTTGGAAGAGACCAAAGCCTACACGACCCAGTCTCTAGCCAGTGTTGCTTATCAGATCAATGCACTGGCCAACAATGTCTTACAACTGCTGGACATCCAAGCGTCCCAGCTCCGGAGGATGGAGTCTTCCATCAACCACATCTCCCAGGTAACCTTTTTGCTTTTAAGACAGGATTGGTAATATTGGAAGAAGCGTCTTCTGCCTTTTAGTGTCCTTGAGAAAAGGAATTTATGTTGACTGCTTTGACTTCTCTGAATAAAATGACAGAAATCTGTAAGGCTTTAATATTTATGAAAGTGATTTTGCTCTGGAGAGCTTGATTAAAATAAAACAGTCCCTTTCTCAGGAAGTGCTGAGTTTCTATTTGATTTAAAGCAAGATCTCGAGATTTGAAGCTGCAGCTGGGGGCAGGGGAGAGAGAAGGGCGCTCTCTCTGGAGGAAGGGCAGGTGGAAGCACTATGTGAGCAGTGTTATCTTATGCTGCAGTGGGTGTGGGCAATACGGTCTCACTTGGTTTGTAGCCTTGCAGGGTGTAATTTCATAAGCTGTGTGATCTGTGCGGGGAAGGAGAGGAGTTTCACATTGTGCCACTTCCTCCTCGAGACCAAGGCAGGTGGAGCAGCGAGCTGAGCTGTCTTGCACCAGCCTGGAACCATGGCCAGAGCTGCGGCAGGGAGCGCAGCGCAAGGGAGGATAGGAAGGAAGAGGCCTGACCCCCGCGGTGGCAACTTGAGTTCCTGTGGCTGAAGCTTCGCCCTCGGCGGCTGCTGCTGACAGGGAGAAGTTCCTGCTGCTGCGCCCCGTGTGCCTGGTCTGAGACTTGCCTAGCTGGGCAGTAGCTCGGCCAAAAAACCCTGCTGTGTTCACAGGCTGGCTTTGGAATCAGGTGGGCCAGCGCAACTGTGAAGGGAAGGAGAGGATTCGCTCTGCTGTCTAACCCTGACTTGGCAGTAGGTTTAAGCCAGTGTCCTTGGGCTCAAGCCTATTGTTCACTGTCATATCTTCTTACTGAGATCCAGTTGCATCTTTGCTAGGTTTTTTTGTCATGTGTCTATCTGAAATACTTCATAAATGATTCTTGGAGGATTAAACCCAAAGTTCTGGTGAATTTGAAACCTTTGTTGGTCAAGCAGTGCTGTTAGTTGTATGCCTTACACAGAATGCTCTGCTGTCCCTCTCTCTGAAGGCCCTGCCAGCTTCTGCTCACTGTTTTTACCGAATAATACAGAATCAAATACATTTTAATGCATTTCTGCTAAATGGCAATGCAGTGGTTGGCTGAAAGAGATCAACAGGTTGGCTGACAGATGCCAAAAGATTCTCCTGTATGTGAAAAGGCTTTACTGGCAACAAACACTTCTAAATAACTCGTCAATAAAGTAATATATTGATTATACAGAGTTTAGTATATAGTAGTTTAAGAAAGAAGAACACACTGTGCAGTGCTAAAATCTGTGTCATGTGCTTTGAGAAGCACCTGCTAGTGAAACAGTTAAGTAGGAAAGAGGTAAAATTGCTCTGGAGAAGTTTTTTGTGCTGTCAGGTGGTCAGAGAGTCTTGATGTTAAGATTATGCCTCCAAAGAGGTTCATGAGGCTGAATGAGGGATAAAACCGGTTGAATTCCTGCCTCTGTTGCCAAGTGATACACTTGGCCAAAGGCCCTGTTACATGGAGCACGTTTTTCCTTGTGCGGAAGTGTGTGGAATGATCAGTGTTAATTTCTCTTTGGGACACAGATGATGTGACTAAGGTGGAGAAAGCCAAAACGTTTGATACCAGCACAAAAGGTGTTAACCCCCTGTACTGTTCCTGCCTGAATGGAAGGCACTTTGCTGCGAGCTGTTGAGTCACCTGCTACATGAACTGTTTGCTAAAGACTCGGAACAATCGGCGCTTTGTGGAGCAGCCGAGGGGTGTTCGGCAAGGTCGCCTGTAGCTTCTGTGGCTGCCCGTCCTTCCTGAAACTAAGCCTTGCTTATAAATGAACATCTGATGACTCATTTTATAGCACTGCACTAGATGCAAATAACATACTACATGTACTATCTCAATCTATTTGCTTTACTTTTTCATTTGACTGCTTCAAGTACATATAAAAATCTACTGAACAGTTGCTTGCTGGGCTGCTTCTACATTTCGATAGGTCTTCAGAGTGTCTTCTCCCCATGCTCGTATCGGTCATGAATATTTTTGTGCCAGTGAAGCATGAGGGTGAACATATTCTCAAAATGCAAGCACTGATGGATGGTGGTGATGTGCAGGTTGGTGTAGGGTAAATGTCTGGATGATTTCTGTCTTTGAGTCTGTCTGCAAGACAAGGTATATCATCCTGGAGAACTTCACTGCGTAAGAAACATGGGTTTGATTTCATTCCCAATCTACTTCTGTACATGGGAAATAACTGTAACTGATGCTTTCAGTTTTTTGTGGAAGAAGTGTGCTGCAGAAATACAGTTTTGAGGTAGTGCCAGGCAGTCAGTTCTAAATTTTGCAATACAGAACAGATATCTGTGATAAAAGCTACAATTTTATTAAACCTTTCTAGTAATAAACACTCTGGAAGGAAATGCTATGGCTCTTCTGATCTCCTGGCGGATTCTGCTCCCTTTCAGACCAGTGCCACACAGCGCCTGAACTCCTACAGTTCTCTGTTTTCCAGAAGGACTTTAGGCTAACTGGCTGCTTGGCTGACCTTGTTTAGTGGCCACTCAACACACTGCTAAGGAAGGTCCTGCATTTATAGGAAAACACTCATGAAAATGTCAGAAGATTGAGTGGTATGGGGCATCTGTTGGAGCTTAATTCTACAGATGGAAAACATGCCTTTTTTGGGGGAGAGGGGAAGGGGAGTGGCAGGCAGAGAGACTTTGCCTAAGTGATGGCTTAGGGGTGAGGAAGAGCTGCTCTGAGCACATTCCAGCAGGGAACATCTCCAAGAGAGACTTCTGCTTTGGCTGCTAGATAAAAGCCAGCCCAAATGTACGTATGTTTCTCACAGTCACATTTGTCTTTCAGCTGTAACCGGAGGCTCTGGAGCAGCCTGTCACACTGTTATTTACTGCAGCTCAGGATACAGAGCTGAGTGCGTAGAGCTCAGCTTGTTGGTTCAGCTTGGTGTGGATTTTGAGTTTTGCCAAGCAGATGTGAGCTTTTCAAGCTGTCCTGGTACGGCAGAGCGGAGTCTTGATTAGTGCTCTGGAGAAGTTTGCAAACCCTTCTATTACAAGAGATCCTGCTCATCCTGTTAGGCGAGGTTTGGGGAGAAAGGTAGCTAGAATGTACGTTGGACTGCCCTAAGTCTGAGGATGCCTGTAGTATTAAGGCATGTGTATTTTTAGGCCTCCCTACTGTAAATTTTCTGCAGCAGTTACAGTTACGCTGTGTGTTTCTGTTGGATGCTTTGATTTGGCTTTGTATTTGCCTTGGAAAGCCTTCCTTGGAAGTACATTTAGCTTCAGGTAGGGAGTCTGTGTAGGAGGTGGAGGCAGAGCCAGCCTGAGCGATGCAGTATTGGGATGTGTTCCTTGACTTCCCCTTTGGGACACTGGGGTAAAAAGGCAATGGTGGAAGGACTGGAGCCCCGTGTGATTCCTTGATTTTTATCACCTATAAATTCTGGATCACAACAGAGAGGAGTTCTGTCTGATAGCCCATAGCCCCCAGTTGTTGTAGTGGCCAAAAGCTTTTCCAAGAACAACAGCTGGATCAGTGTTATTTGGGTTTTCTGTTCTCTGTGTAGCAACTAAAATGTATCTGGAACAGCCACTCTTCTCTTTTTGTAGTGGCTTTCGGGAAGTCTGGTGAATGTAGAAACTGAGCAGTGAAAGAGCAAAGGAGGAGCTGAGGCTCATCCTGCATTAGGAGATGGATGGAAGGGCCTTGGGTGTTTACATGGGGGAAGGAGTAGAGACCTTAATGTTCAGCCCACTGCGTTTCTTGGAGCATTATCCAGTTTGATCACTGGACTATGGGATTTTTCATGTTCCCTAAAAATGAATTGGGGAAGTCACCATCTACTTGTGATCTGAATGTAGTTTATGCTTCATTGTATTATTTCTTATGTGTAAAGAAATGTGTAATTAAATGAAGTTCTGGTTGGCTGTTTAAATCATTTATGTCACTCTTGCCTTGGTTCCTGAACCAAAACTTCTGAATGCTTCTTTCAGAGTTAATCCTTTTTAATAACTAAAACAAGAATCTTCCCTCCGAAAAATAGTGTTTCTCAGTGGAGATGTTCAAAATGCAAGTTGTCCTGGCTTAAACTTTTGACAAGGGAAAGTTGCCCCTCTAGAAAATGCTTTTTGGCTGAGGCCATTTCTGGATTGCTCTCTCTACTCTCCCTCCTGCTCGAGGAAGCAAGAGCTAACTTAAGAAACATGTACTTTAACATAATTTTTTTTTTCCTGTTTCATTTCCACAAGCTTAAAAGTATGAAGATGAGAGAAAGAGAGAGAGAGAGAGAGAGAGAGAGAGAGAGAGAGAGAGAGAGAGAGAGAGAGAGAGAGAGAGAGACCAATTCACCAGAGGAGAGAAAAGTTGACAGGGTCATCCTTGTTTATGTTGTCGAAACTGAAAAAATGCGGCAGATCAGCGCTGGGGCTGGTGTCGGAGCAGCTGCAGGCCTGGGCGGAGCAGCATTTTTCTTTTTTCTCCTGGACATAAACAGTTTTAAAATAGCTCAGCATTTCAGTCCATGTCCACTGCAGCCAGAATAAAGCAGAAGACTCCTTTTTAAGAGATAACGTTTTTGCTTGAGGAAACAACGTGCCCCTTAAACATTCAGTGTTAATACTGCTGTCTCTAAAACTGCCCTTTTAGGGATTGTTACGGAACAGTAAATTCTGAAAACGTAGTTTTCGGTGAGAAAATATCTGCATCTTTTGTGTTGGCATTGAAAGAGCTGGAAGCTTTTAGAACTGAAAATCAGAGAATGCCCAGAATTAACTGAGAAGAATCTCGCCTGTCACCATCCATGTCTGCTTCACTGCCCGTGTGATTGAAGTGGCCGTAACGGAACACACGGATGGTCTGTCCTGGTGGGGCTCCTTCCCGGCCTCCCTGGTGGGGCTCCTTCCCGGCCTCCCTGGTGGGGCTCCTTCCCGGCCTCCCTGGTGGGGCTCCTTCCCG